GGCCGCGCGTAACTTCACGTGTCGTTCAGGTGAGCCGTGCGTAACTTCACGTGTCGTTTAAGTGAGCCGTGCGTAACTTCACGTGTCGTTTAGGTGAGCCGTGCGTAACTTCACGTGTCGTTTAGGTGAGCAGCGCGTAACTTCACGTGTCGTTTAGGTGAGTAGCGCGTAACTTCACGTGTCGTTTAGGTGAGCCGTGCGTAACTTCACGTGTTGTTTAGGTGAGCCGCGCGTAACTTCACGTGTCGTTTGGGTGAGCCGTGCGTAACATCACGTGTCGTTTAGGTGAGCCGTGCGTAACTTCACGTGTCGTTTAGGTGAGCCGCGCGTAACTTCACGTGTCGTTTAGGTGAGTAGCGCGTAACTTCACGTGTCGTTTAGGTGAGCCGTGCGTAACTTCACGTGTCGTTTAGGTGAGCCGCGCGTAACTTCACGTGTCGTTTAGGTGAGCCGTGCGTAACTTCACGTGTCGTTTAGGTGAGCCGTGCGTAACTTCACGTGTCGTTTAGGTGAGCCGTGCGTAACTTCACGTGTCGTTTAGGTGAGCCGTGCGTAACTTCACGTGTCGTTTTGCGTCGTCGACACAGTCGTATGTGTATTAATTATCAGCAGCTGCTCGGAGGCTTCGCGGCCCATGCTTTGATCCAGTGAGACCCGAGGCGCGTAAACCCGGTAGTTATGCATGTACAATATATCAGGAGTCTATCAATAGATCAGTCATATGATACTGACACTGACCGAATATCATGATCGAACGACAAAACAGGCGTTGCTCTATCGTCTGCGGCGCATTCCTGTCTCCGGCTGACACGATACAACGTGTACAGTGTGTGCAGCATATTAAGGATACTGTTAGGGTTACGGACGGGTAACAATGTATAAAGGGCAGAGCAACATAACTGCTCATCAAATTAAATGAAACTCATATCCATTACATAAGAGACATGTTTCTCTACGCTTTCGATAAAAATTAAGCTTCTTTAGCTCATCGCTAATTAAGTGACAGCAAAAATTGTCAATTTATACAAAAAATGCTTTTTTTGTTATTTCTCAGAAACAGCAGAGTTGCGACCTAAACGTTTAACCATAAGTTGTTCATAATATGAACTAAAAAAGGGTCCCTGGAATTTTTTTTAAATGCTTTAATTTAGGAAATAAGTTGAAAAGATGTACGAAAATTTGTAGTGATTTTCAAAACGCAACAATTTCGTAAACAAAGAGCCATAACTTATAAAATATAATATTTAAACAAAATTCCAGGGATACCTTTTTCCTTTGATATGTTAGCATTGAAACGTAGCAAAAATTTTTGGAATCGGAGTTGTGAGTTTCGAGAAATAGCGTTTGACAAATCAGCAACTTTAGCATTTCTAACAATGGAGATATTAGCACTTTTCTAAATTTCCCATGATTGAACGCTTGTGTTAATAATTGACTAATGCGGAGATTTGGAACTGTTTGAGAGGCTACATACATAATTTATACGTATGCATAGCTGCCCATGGCTGCGATCTATCAAATAAAATGGGTATTGAAATTTCGACCGAAAATCACTTCCCAACCCTAACAGTATCCTTAATCACACGCTGCGCGTTTGTGTGTAGTGAACCCGTGCATGTTTCTTTCGCCCTTGCAGCGACCTTGCGATGAACAGAAGCAAATGGGCTGACTTCACAAAACAAGCCATTGGATTGCTGAGGCGGTTTCACTTCGATGGTCTCGATATCAACTGGATATACCCGGGTGACGAGAGCAGGCAGGGCAGGCCCGAGGACAAGCAACGTTTTCCCGATCTCCTACAGGTACGCAAAATGTCGAATCTTATGTGCATGATATGATCAAGAGTAGATAATAGGGAATTTCCCTATTATCTACTCCTGATATGATGTATAGTTCCCCCCCCCACCACCACCGGAATACATGAGATAGGAGAGCAGGTTTCTTACAGGTACGCGTGAGGTGGGGAGTACGTAAATCTCTTCTGGAAGCGAGATGCAACTTGTATATGAAATAAGGTACAAATCTCTTACACTAGTGTATGAGATGAACATACGTATTTATTAAAAGTCCAAGGCGTACAGATTCCTTGCAAATCCACGTACAAACCTAGGGCGCACAGATATCTTACAAATCTATCATGCGCGTATCCTGGAATGAAATATGTGCGGCTAGTAGCATTAATGAGAATGATTCGACGTTCGACTGAGCCAATGATGAACACGATCAATGATCACGAGCCCATTCATTCTGACGGTCTCAATACCATACGTGACGTACTTCTAGACCCTACGCGAAGGGTTCAACGAAGATTCGTGGCAGAGGAACGCGGATAGGCTCCTACTGTCGGCGTCCGTCGCGCCTAACGAGAAGAACATGAATCGCAGCTACGAGGTCGGGCGCATGTCGCCGTGGCTGGACTTTGTCAACCTGCTCACGTACGATTATCACGGTGCCTGGGAGAATACGACCGGTCACAACAGCCCACTCGGTTCAACGCCTCTCACCGACGACAGCAATAACGTCGTAAGTGACAGACGCGTGTTATGGTTGGGTTAATTATCATATATAATGACTCCATTTGGTACATGTCATTAGTTCAGTACGTTTCGGTTCATATACGTGCATGTATAACTGATGGCGTGACCTGCCACGTACCTTCTGCTCACGATACGCATGCATCTGTGTCGTTGTAATGCTACAGTCTTCGCGTGTGCACGTACACGTGCGTGCGTGCGTGGGTGTGCACGTACACGTGTGTGCGTGTGCACGTACACAGAACACATGTACATATACGTACTGAACCGAGAGCGCACGCCGCATTCGGGATTTCATCGATTTTTGTCACAAATGACCCGGTGACCCGTGACGTCACATAACCCCTTGGCTAATTACGAACTGGCTTCCCCCAACGGGCTTCAATGGCGAACCCTAGCTATTGCTTCAGAAGACAGGGTTCTCTAGCAAGCACTAAATTCACCAAGCTAGTGAAATTAGTAAAATGGGGGTTTGAAATGCTCAGAAACGATTTCTTTGACCTTTTCATTTGTTTTCTGGTATTGATTCTTGAACGAGAGAGAAGGCATTACCCCGCTGACCCCCTGGATTTCCAACGTATTGTATTCTCGCCTGCATTATCCCGTTTTACAGAGAACATCGCTGAAGCGCTGGTTGAGCCAAGATGGCGCCTTGCCAGAGCAGGTCGTTCTAGGCGTTCCGATGTACGGACGCTGCTTCATGCTGTCCGAGCCTTCGATGACCCATCTTGGCGCTCCCACCAGCAGCCCGTGTCCGGCTGGCATGTACACCGGCGAGCCAGGCTTCCTCTCTTACTACGAGGTAAGTCAAACAGCACGACCGCACCGCCGTGAAGGCATTTACTCAGCATGCCACCAACAAAACAAATGCAATGAATGCGAACAGAATCATGCCACAGTAAACACGTTGCGGTTGAATCAGTGTAGTTATATTGTATATTCTATACCATATAATAATTATGTATATATATATATATATATATATATATATATATATACACAGTGTCTATCAGAGGATAATAATGACATGCGACATGTCACGTGTCACGTTTGCTAGGTGTCACGTGACATTTGTCATTATTAACCCCCTGGTATAGAACAGACAGATTAGAGAAATTTGAAAAACTTGAAACCCGTAATAGACTACCTCGTGTATTGCGCTTTTTACTTTGTATCGGCCTCGATCTAACTGTGTCACCCTCCCGGGGCCATAAATCTAAGTTCTAACAAGATTTTAAACTAGACGCGCTACGTACCAACCTATCGCGCGTCGTGTGAATAAATTGCAGATTTGCGACATCCTATTCTACGGCGACTATAGACAGCATTACGACACGCAAGAGCGAGTTGCGTACGCGGAGGATGGTGTCAGGTGGATCAGCTACGACACTGTCGATAGCCTAATGGAGAAGGCAAGTGCATGGGTGTCGGATATTTTTTACAGGAAAACCACGCCGCTGCTGCCGCCATCGCCGCATAAACACACGAATTCGCCATTTAGTAGACGTTTATTACTACCATATCTTGTGGAAGGCTACCCCACCGTGGGTTGTCTAGGGGGGATATTATCTGTACCAGGGCACTCTTCAGGGAAAAAGGAAGTTTGTATGATTTTACAACTATACCATCATTTTACATGTGCGAACATGGCTTCTCTTTTGTTTTCTTCAACTGTTCGACTGTTTTAGATGTGTGTGCACATGCTTTCTCCTTGTGGTTTTACAACTGCCCCATTATTTTAAATTTCCGAGCATGCGCTCTCTTTTGTTATATAACAATTGTCCAATTACTTCAAATGTTCGCGAATGCTTTCTCGTTTGTGGTTTTAGAACTGCCCCCAACTTGTACACATTTAATCCGTCACGCAACTCTAACCGACACACACCGCATTGCTAATTCAAACCAGAACTACAGTAACGTAACTTATTAAAGTACATATTCATCTGCAAGGCCGTACACAGGAAATTTTCAGTGGGGGCAAATTTTCAGTGGGGGGGGGGCAGTAGATGAGAGAAGGCTACCCCTAGAAACATTGTTATGACCCCGCTGGGGGTTGCAAATTTAAATTTCAGGGGGGGGGGCAAGTGCCCCCCTGCCCCCCGCTACGTACGGCCATGTTCATCTGTCAATGTCGTTAATTGACTCGTTCCAATGCACCGTCCTGCTCCTCCTATGACCACGTGTCACACAATCGTTTCCATCGCTACCGACTAGTCCACTGCCAACCATGCAAACCTGCATGTGACACTACCAATGTGTTTAGCACCGATGCTCTAGCTCTAACTCGGAGCCAAATTCCATGCAGGAAAATATACACTGCAAGATTATGCTTACGCGAGCTACTCGCTGTTGCTCAGCCACTGCTCTATTCTGCCGCAGGAAAAACTATACTGGCAATAACACACGCGCTCATTTATTATTTATTGATTTTTGTGATGGCTTGAGCGTCATCGTCTGTCTTCCGCGTTCCAGGTGGCGTTTGCCAGGACGGAGTGTTTGGCCGGCGTCGGTGCATATGCTCTGGATCTTGACGACTTCGCCAACAGCAAGTGTGCCACGGGAAACTACCCACTACTGACTGCCATTCAGCGAGCAGTTCACGAAACCGTGCCCGGTGACAACTGCAGCACTGCCACGGTAGAGGTCCCTACACGAGACGAGGTCGTCATTCGCAGAGGCTCGTTCTTACGCCAGCTGGGAGCCGATCTGCCCGTCAACTCTGACAGAAATGACGACGTCTCGGTGAATATGTACGGCTTGCAAAGTGACGCTGCTCAGGTTAGAAGCGCACAATCGACCATCTTTCCCAGACTTATTCATCCAACTACAAGACGCCCGATCATGTACAGGCCAGTGGAAACTCGCCCCGTGCCGGTTAGGACGTTTACGGTGACCGAAACCATTCCCACTGGACCAGCTACTGTCACTGCACGGGCCAGCACATCTATTCCCCACGTAGCAACGTCGCCGGAGATGCATGTGAACAGATACGTCTCACCGTCAATAACATCCTCATTTGTGATATCATCCGCGATGCTTCCATCACAGGTGGCCACTACAACACTATATAGGCCGATGCGAGAGCGAGAACAGCAGCAAACGCCCAGAGGCCATGAAGGGAAACCAACGCAAACAGACGAGGGTCCTAACGACCAACTCGCCGCCATACGCTACCCAGAGTACATCACATCGGCAACCACAGAACTTGGGAAAGACACGAGAACGAGGGAGTCTCCATCGCAAGAAAAGCGAACAGTGACAAGCACAGTTAGCAAGGTACAAACGCGGGTTTATTCACTCGCGAGAGAAAATGAAGGTTCCGAGCATCAACCAGCGATACAAATAACCCCGCCTACATTACCAGCAAACGCGTTCAAAACCGAGCGGCTGCCTCTGCCTACCACGCGCAATGTATTCGTTCCACTCTTCGCTGCGGGTTCAAGATCGATTGTGATCGAAAGGACACATGTAGCGAGTACAGAACAGCCAGCGTCGTTGCGTTCGGTGTCTACTCGGACGGCAACCACAGCTCGCACGCGAGCATCCTCATCTACTCAGCACGTGGCAGCGTCACCGCGCTTACCGCCGTCAACGGCGTCCCCGTCACCGCGCTTACCGCCGTCAACGGCGTCCCCGTCACCGACCGTAAAGGTGCTCAGACCAGGCGTTGTTATTCTCCAAGACAGACCTCAAACAACTACAGCAACAGTGTCGACAACACCGGTAACAACAGTGGGTACGGTGTCGGTAACTTCAGATGAAAGGCCTAGAGGCTCAGGGAACCCAATACTGGAAGCTGGCAGTGTGAAAAAGTATACAGTATTACCGCCCGTTCACACAGGCACAGATCAAGAAGGACCCAATGAGGTTTCAGCTTTTTCGAGTAGGCACAACTCGGCCTCCTGTCACGTAGCTCAGCTAACAGGGGTTATAGTTTTTGTAGCCTTTGTCCTCAGTTCGGTATAGATACAGGAGACAAAATATAAAATTATTATTATTAATTATTATCAAATTAGTGCTATCATGCGTAAATTACCACGTTTGTATATATATATATATAAATGCTTTGCCAGTTTTTAAAATGTCCTTGTACTATCATTCAACATTAAGATGTGTTTGTACTATCATTCAACGTGCGTATAAATACGTTGAGAGCAGAGTTTAACAGTATTGCCATTAGGAATTGGGAATTATCGGATATCTGTAAACACGTTGTAAATAATATTTTATAATATATACCACTACTGCGTATTGGTATATAGTATTAGTATTAGTATTAGAGTTGTACTAGAGTAGAGAGACTCTACTAGTAGTATTAGAGTCGTATTAGTATTTGTACTATGTGTTAGTATTACAATAAACCCGGAACCATAAAAGATACATTTACAGTAAAAATGTTCTTTTACATTTCCTTTTTATTATCAATATATACCCTAGTCTCAGTAAACATATTGTATAGTACACGCACACGCACACGCCTATGTATGCACGCACGCACGTACGCAAAATATGAAGAAACGTGGCACATTCTAGTGAAATTAATTTCTCACCCATTTCTTCGTAACCCGGTACCTCAGACTCCCTCAGTGCATGGCAGGTTGGTAGAGAATTTGACAAAACGTACTAATTCGTAACAAAACAAGATTATACCAGTATCTCGTAAGTAAATTATACTCACTAACGTCAGGTTAAATATGATTACAAAATGGTAACGTTAGACGCGACTTTCACATTAATTTCCTATCGCGCTCCTTGCAAATTGATTATAACCCAGTTTTAGATGGTTTGTTACCTATTTGTTAATATTAAGTAATGAAAAATCATTTAAAATCAAGTTATACAATTACCGTAACTACAGGTAACGTATAAGGACATGTACATCGGGGTTAATACGTGTTTTTGTACCACAAGTCTCCACCAGCACGTACATTCTCTAGCCGTCAACGCGCGCATCTGACTGTCGGCGTCTTATCTTATGATCATTATACCTATCAAAAATCATGTTCATAAAATGTCTGTGCGGGAGAGAATTCCAATCGTTAGTGACGCCTTGTTTTACTTTAATATTTGTAAAGTACATCTTCTTGAGCCAAGTAAAGACTGTCTACAATATTTGATAAAGGAACAATGAGCAAGGCGTGCATAGAGCATGCGCACTAGTAGGCCTACTGCAGTCGTTTCGTCGTAAAACAAATTAATTGTGGGAAATAAAATTAAATTGTGGGAAATACCCGATTTTGTTGTCTTCGCTTTTAATCACCGGCTATGGCTTTACAATGATATATTAATGATATCTCATATTTTAATGCATTGACATTTGATGACACAAACACGAAATTTTCAACAAAATAATTATCAATTAGTAATACCATGGAAGTATATAGAACGTCTATTAAATCACAGCGTATGTCGCTATGTATCAGTATTTTATCCTGACGCAAAACAGCCCATCAGGAAATGCACAGATCCAAGATGAAAATTAAGACATATCCCTGGCAAAACGTAGCGTAATGTTCACACATCACACATTACAACTTATAGCTACACCCATTGCGTTGGATGTCAATCGTTTATAACGAGCAACCACCGTCCAGCACCAAGGCTTGTCCTGTCATGTAAGCCGACTCATCCGAGGCCAAGTATAGGCAGAGAGCGGCCACCTCCTCTGAGGTTCCAATCCGCCCGATTGGCTGTCGGCTGACGAAGCCCGCCATTGCTTCCGGCGTGCCACCTAGCTCTTGGAATCGCTCTAGGAATGATGGCGTCTCCACGGTACCCGGACACAGGCAGTTGCATCGGATGCCCTGCCCGACGAAGTCGATAGCGATTGACTTGGTGAGTCCGACGACGGCAGCCTTTGACGCGCCGTATGCAAGCCTGCGTGGAAGACCTTTCACGCTAGAGGCGACCGAACTCATGTTGATGACATTGCCAGAGCCCTGAGCGAGCATCCTCGGCAGCAGGGACTTGCACATCAGGTACGTGCTCTTGACGTTCAGGTTGAAGCTGAGATCCCAGACTTCGTCCGGACACTCCAAGATGGTGCCCTGGTGGACGTAGCCAGCGCAGTTGAACAGGACGTCAATCTTATCGACTTCATCCGCAAATTTTCGCACCGCCTTCTCATCCGTCACATCGAGCACCTTGGTAATGATGCCTGCTACGCCAGACAGTTTGGTCAGTTTTTCTGCATTGATGTCTGTAGCAAGAACAGAGGCACCCTCCTTCGCAAAGGCGATAGCGGTTGCTCTACCAATACCCTGAGCTGCTGCAGTTATCACAATTTGTTTTCCTTCTAGTCGCGGCATGGCAGGCAGGAAAATTTACTGCAAGGAGAGACCAAACGTATATATTTGACTAACAAGAACTAAATGTGAATAAGTCAGTTGCCTCGTGTCAATGAATACAGCACAAAGATAGAACCATACAATGATAGGGTCAGTCCTACTTAACGTGTGGTTACATGGGTAGAGATATAATTGTAACTTTGAATGGCGTGCTTTTCAGAAGCCAAGATGTACTTTCTGTCAACGGTTCCGTGAGGCCAGTGATTCCTTGTTACCCCTTCAATGTGTAAAACGTAATAGTGATCATGGCCAGACATGCCCAGTGACCACATGGCCAAAGGTCAATGCTGGCCTCTCTCTTACTTCATTTATTTCGTAGTGAAAATGCATTTTATGTTAATATTCAAGGTTAATAGGGCAGGTTTTCAGTTCCTGTCATAGTTGGTATGATGAGAATCTTCATTGTGTTTCTAATTACTTATCTCTGCAAATGTGACAAATATCACAACTATACTCTGTCACAACACCCGCACAAGTGTTGACTCTCAATTTGTAACGAAGGTGAATATTTAGGCCATCGTATATATCACACGAAATGGAGAAAATAGAGTTACTAGAAACCAGAAACACTGAAGTCACTGTGACAGGGTGAAGGGCTACACCACGGGTAGAGCTAAAATGGCGACTAGATGTAACACATGAAAATCCACTGACTGACGCACTGGCATTTCCTGACTGCGGTTTTCTTTTCCCGCCGTTGACCGTCTCGCAGCGGTAATTCCTCGCACCCTCCCCATGCACAACAAATCGTTGACTATGAACACATTGTGCTTGCTTTCGCGAACAACAGAGTTCGATCGTAACCCAGTTACGCTTTCTCTTGCGCTTTTCTTCGTTTTTGTGCTGTTTCTTCAATCCACTTTCCTATTTTCGGGACACGTCGACGGGGGACTGCCGTATCCCAAGCTTCAATGTCATAACCCTAACCCTAACCCTAACCCAAACCCATAAATATAATTCTGACACGACCCTGTCCAAATCACTGATTATTCAGTAGCAGAAACAGCGACCGTGCAAATAACACTCGTCCTTACACCGTATATCTCAAGAGCGAACACGCAGAAGGACCGATAGGACGGAGAAACGCCATACTCACGTTTCATCTGATAGCTCGTAGCTAGTTACAGCAAAATAAACAGTGAATTATGCAATACGTTCGCACATACATTTATTTTATTATCAAATCATAGCCGTTCGCTATTGGCATGTTCTGTTTGAATATGGCTTGTTATTTATAGATTTAGACGCGCAAAATAATCTAGGAAGGGAGTTGCGACCGAGGGGGGAGAATCGGGATAAACGCGAATAGAATCCACACTGTTCCTACAAACTCACCACCCACCTCTCGTTATTACTACATAAACTATTCGGAATGGATCCTTTTCACTTCTTCACGGACTGATAACTTACATATAGGTAATTATAATAGGCGTAATGTCCATTGACAATAGTCCATGTAAAATAAATTTTTTACAGGTATGAGTGTAGAAAGCATGTATTATGAAACTTTGATTACAAAAGGTGCATGTTTGATTTACTTTACGCTTGATCTAAATACATGATAACGATATAAAGTAGATTGATTGCATGTAATATGTAGAAGCCTAGCTACTCGTTATTTGTAATTATGTAAAACAATAAATTATGAACCATTCTTGATATAGTGATACAGTAGTTTCAATATCAAAGTCCAACTTTCTTAGTGGATGTCGTGAGACGTTCAGGCAAAATGTAGCAGAAAGTTCAGATCTAATTTAAAACATTTACATATATAAAAGTTTTTAATATTATATTACATTACATTTTTGAAAATGTATGCAAATTACATAAAAACACTGTATAATAGATTTTGCCAATTTCATACAATATAATATATCAAATTACAATTGTTTATGTTGTTATGTATAATAATTATATGCATGTTATAAATACCAAAGTTCATCTAAATTCCTCAGTACAACATTCTTGATATATATATAAATATATAATATATATATATATATTAAAATTTATATATATATATATGGGTGTGTGCATGGGTGTATGTGCGCATGCGTGCGTGCGTGCATGTATACAAGGATGTACATACATTGCAAGTCATTATATATCATATAGATACATCACACGAACATCACACCAGCACACTGTGGATAGTGTCATAGTGTGGGTGGGGCATTACACATTTTCGCGACACGCCGAGGGGGACTGCCGTATCCAAATCTTAAATTTCATAATGGCCGCCATGCCCATAAATATAATTCTGACACAACCGTGTCCCAATCACTGATTATTTAGTAGTAGAAACAGCGACCGTGCAAATAACACTTGCATTACACTAGAACATCACTCGGTTTTACAGCAAGTGTAAAAGACCAAAAAGCATAATGTCAATATTATTTCAAAAACCTTCCTGTTTTGTTGACAGGGTAAAAATGGGCGTATCTCTTGTTTCGACCTAATAAAGTGAGTTGGTAGCAACCAGAACTGATTACTATGCCATGACGATCACTATCACGGGGAGGAAGATTAAACATAAACCACATTCACTCATATAACACACGGGTTTACGATGCTGTTTATCGTTATTATATATCTGTTACTCTTTACTATCACTATTGTTATTTCCTTGTTATTTATATATCTGCATGCCCCCCAAAAAAACGTTTCTAATCTCCCCAATCAGGCAATCACCTACTTCAAACTTCACCCCACTTTAGATGGATTGCTACTGATCTTATATTTTTCGCTATCACCCTTTTTGTATTTATAATACCTGCTCACTACCTGCCTCCTAACCTGAACCCAGTTCCAGAAAATTTATCGGCACTTCCACCCGGCCTTGTCAGCGTCTCCCTGCCTTCACGACTAGCCATCCCATGCTCTTGTCGCGTGCCCCCTGGGTTTTCTCCTCCCATTCTCTCTGTAGATGCTTGTGTGGCTTCTCTATCTCTAGATGCTTGCCTAGCTCCTCTCCCTCCTGCACCAGAGATGCTCTGCCATAGGCTTTGCATGCTGTGCCCCTGGCTGAACATGGAGACGAGAAAGAGGAGTCCAGCAAATATCAGTCCAGCTGGTCCCATTAATACAAGGACAAGTAGCAGACCAACAGACACTATAGGTTCCACCACGGTGCTGCCGAGGTTCCATCGTGGAATGCCCATATCGAGTAGTCGTTGGTTCAGCGTCGAAAACATAGACGGTCCCTCGGCTGCCTCCTGCTGCGCGTCATCTGTGTGCCTTACACCTTGTACGCCCTGAAGAAAACCGATATATCGTCTATATCTTCATACAGTCAAAGTAGGTATGTAGCCTCTAGGGCAGGGGTTCTTAACCTGTGGTCCACGGACTTTGGGGTACGTGGATGGGCTTCAGGGGGTCCACGAACCCCATTGTATGAAAAATTTGGTGTTTATGTGCTTATGTGCATTTTTCTGGGGAGGGGTCTGTAGCTTTCACCAGATTCTCAAAGGGGTCCATGACTCAAAGGTTAATAACCACTGCCCTAGGGGATGTTTCAACAACACCCGCAACCATGAGGTTCTTCCAAACTATGTACATAGCGAAAGAGCGCTTCAATTACGAAGATAGGTAACACGTAATTTAAACATGATTTACAATTTTGCAATTATTAAACTTTGAATAGTAAATTAAAGCTTGCTTAGGCCAAAACAAAATATGTGTGGTTAACGTTACACGCCGAAAAAAATAGGGTAGGTAGGTAGGGAAAACATTTCATTTTCTTGAAATATTTCATTTACGAACCATGTCCGAAGGATGTGCGTTGTGCCTTTTGAAGCAGGAACTGAAAAATCTTTAAATTAAAAAAAAAATTTTTTTAATGTTTAAAACTGAATAAAATGTTTAGGGTCGCTGGGAATAAATAGGGTCGGTCGGGAAACCGTAACCACACCTATATTTTGTTTTGGCCTTACTGGAATTACAATCCCTTTCAGGGTTCTCCAAGCTTTTTCATTATAGCATGGCGGTGCTGCCTTTACGGTCCTAGTTGCAAATCGCTTAAAACCGGCTATGGCATTTATGGCCTATATTATGGCCTAATTTAGCATGGCGGCTAGGATATTTAGAGTGGCGGGTGCATTTTAGGATGGCGGGGCTCGATGCTAGCCTGACGGGCCGCCAGGCTATAAGTGCTCTTGGAGAAGCCTGCCTTTGTAAAAGCAAGGTCGGTTAAGTGACCAGTTATTCGGTGCTGGGTCAGTAGAAACGCAGTTATCCACATTCAAACAAGAAGCAATTTTCTAAAAAATAATAAGGTGATATTTGTCTTATTTGAATGCATTTCTTCCACATAGGTGATCTCACAGATAGGATATATAGTAATAGTATCAGCAATTGTCTGCATAAAAACTGCATACCTGTGTCTGTCTCTGCCTTGCCTCGTTTTGCCTATTTTGATTTCTAGCATCGTCAGCTTCAACAATCTCACCGCTGGCTAAAATCTTTACCATCTGGACTCAGGAAAATATCACGTACAATTTTTAACTACTGTACATCCAGTTTATATAAACACATATACAGATAATATATATATATATAGGCTGCTGCTGACTCGCCACTCGCTGACTCGACGCGCTATCGATCGCGCGGTGGCGACACACACACACGAGACCGATTACATGACCTCCGTTGCGCGGAGGTATAATAATCATATTATAATGGACGACGTTATAACTTATATCAGGAGCGTATAATGACAAATTTGTCATTACATTTGTCATTACATTTACATTTGTCATTACATTTGTCAAATACATTTGTCATTATACGCTCTAGTCCGAGATTTCTCTGACCAATGCCCACACCGACGATTTTGGTGGTTTTGGTGTGGGTTAGGCTAACCCACACCAAAACCACCAAAATCGTCGGTGTGGGCATTGGTCAGAGGAATCTCGGACTATATACGCTCCTGCTTATATCCGTCAACAAATGCCAATTATCAAGTTCTTCTACCTCACAAAATTATTTAGTTACTGTACCTTCAGACAAATCTAGAGGTGCTTGCACAAATAGCTGTCGGAATAACGGTTCGTAGACTAGTCCTAAGAAACTTAAATTTAGTCTCAGAAAAGACAGAATATCCGCTTATCCAACTACTAAACTACGCCTCCATGACATGCGCTTTACAGACTGACACTTGACGCCTCGGTGGGCGGACGATTATGATGCTTTTAACGAGCTACTAAGTCCATCTATGCGCATGATGCATGCATACACAGCATCTAAGCGTCCGGTTGCTTGATCTATATGTCGTGAGAGTTATACTACCACTACGCCATGTGCGATTTCTTCGAGGTACATATTCGAGGCATACCATACGCGGACTCCGGATGGGGTGGGGGTGAGGGACAGCCGGTGCAAGCATTTTTTTGCCGTCTAACGTTGTGGCGTAACTTGTCCATTGTATATATATATATATATATATATATATATATATATATATGCCATTGGCACAATACTTCATAACACAACAAAATATACTCATAGTTTAGATTCTACTATAAGTCACTGTGCATAACTGTAGTAACCTATTGCAACGTTCTGATGTACCAAACCTGTGTGAACAAGGCATATCATAACAATACCTCTAATAATCAATGGTCCGCAAGCCAATACACCTGCCACAGACTTGTTCGAGTTATAATATAGCATTTGCTCAATCATGGCTATAGAAGGATACAAATGATAGTGACCAAGTAACACAGTTCAATAAAAGGAGAACAAGTCCTTAAGCTCATATAATGGGGAAAAATAGCATAATCAGATGGGTTTGACTCTCACCTGTGTAATGCTAGCCACTAGTACCTGCATGTGTGTGTAACGAATTTGGATATTTAATCATCTATTACTAGATTTACTACATACAATAATGTAACCTTCAACACGGGCCTACGACATGAGCCAATTTTCAGTATGGAGAATTTGATCAAGTAAATTACTCTGGGGAGATTCATGACTAGTTCTTGTAGTTACTTCCCACCTCAGTGGGTTATCTTACAAAACTAATAGATCTGGTTGTTCAATCCTGGGCACAATATTTTACCAGATCAGCGTTTGGGGAATTTTGAGCACTGCTCCATGGCAAACATCACAGTATGTGTCAGAGCTTTGTTTTGCAACGTTACCAGAACTTTTTCCCCCTATTGGCTTCTGCAACTACGTTGATTTGGTTTCCATAACATGTTTATTTCCAGCAAATCCACTCACTATTATGTGGGTGAGGTTGATATTATAAACATCAAGTCTAATCTGCCACTATCATATCTAATGTACCAGTAAATGCATAAATACTAGCAGTAGCATATTTAGGATGGGAAACGCAGAGGAATTTAATGTATTACAGCAAACTGAGCACTGCGACCCGAGTCATGAAAAGTTAACGTGTTTTACTACAGTACTGTACTACACAACTGTGTTTTACTACAGTTACTCGTTGTCATTTATTTTCCGAAATAGGTGACCTAATAATTAACTAGTTTGAGTAATAAGAAGCCACAAGTTACCTTCTCGCTTCTCACTATGAGTATGAGGTAAGAAAGTCATAAGTGAACAAAGTGACCAAAACCTAATTCCGTAATTGTAGCTAACAAAGCACTACTACAAATAGTACCAATATCTAACTTATGATTGCTCTGACCATTTCTTTGTACATCCATGCTATTGTTAACTATGAACGCGCTAAATATTGCTAACCATGTATTTACATGTCAGCACGCATTTCGAGACTTGATAGGGATAAATTTGAACAAGGTGGCCATTTCAGTTTGAATCCTGCACGATTTATGTGCACTCTCGCCAGTCTCGCATAAATCTTGTGTATGCTCCGTAATACAAGTATACGAGTTTGCCAACTTTTAAAAATAACTCCTTTCCAAATTGTATGATTATAACATGGATGGTTAGACAAATAGCCTACTAGTTAAGAAGTGTGCTGTGAGTAAGAATATACTTGCAACACATAACAAATCAGGTCAAATGTGGTAATACAATTGTTTTATTTTTATGAAATTCTGCATTCTGCATTTGTCTTCAAGCTACAAGGTTTTTTGTATTAAAGGGTGTCAGGCTCCTACGACGTGAGTCTTCGGCCTGGTCGAGCCAAGTATTGCTCATAGGGTCTATGTCCCCCAGGGTACTGCCGGAACGTACCCTGGGTACGATCCGGTATACCGGAACGTACCCTGGTAACTATCTGATATGGTTAGGGTTAGGGTTAGGGTTAGGGTTAAGGTTAGGGTTAGGGATAAGGGAGTAGGCGTAGGTGCTCCCTAGACTCGTTAGTGAGTAGGCGAGTACGGTCCCCGCATATTAGATAAGTACCAGGGTACGTTCCGGCAATTACCCTGGGGACATAGACCCTCTCAGCCCAAGTAATAAGTAGCTCCCTCTGTAGCCCTTCACTCCAGAATTGCAACAGAACAGAAGGGGGAAACAGGACAGAACCTATGGCAGGGCGAAGGCACACAAGGAATGTCAACCAATACACAGTCACAGGTAGAGCAAAGTTATACTACTACGTACGAGACCAGGATTAGAATAAACTCATAATTAATAGAAGAGGCTAGCGTAATATTATTATTAGTGAAAAATTAACCTCATAATGCATGATTAAATAGAGACAGAGACACAAAGTTGATCAAATAGATAGATCAACACTGCGGATTGCAATATAAAGTTTCAATTTTGCAATTAACCAAAGAGGAAGAAAGAAAATTTATAATTTCTTAAGGGTGACAAAAACAAAGAAGCTTAATTTAAGGGAACATTTAGTGCAAAATATAAATTAAATTAATGCACACGTGACCACTATTAAATCACTACCGGTTCATTACCCTGTTAGGTTAGAGGATGTGACGTGTCGTCGGCCGACCAATTGGAGGGCCCGCAGCTCGGGCTCTAAAGCTGACGCGATGTTTTGTGGTTGCATTATTTAGGCTGGCTATCGTGTGTGGCAATGACATGCACATGGAGATGGGTTGATGGTTACTGGTAATTTAAAACGAATTCTTTCAATGTATGGTCCCTATTCGACTGCGCGACTGTTTTTCAGGCACAAATGTGGTGTCGGGTAGTAAATTTGCGATCACTTTTTAAAACGCTGGACAACATATGACACAACTCTCATGGTGCACAGTAGTTCCAAGAAACGGTATTGCTAGGGTTAGAATACCTACGCCATATATTGACGTATGCATGTATATTGTATATTGACGCCTATATATTGACGTTAGTCACACAGCCTGATCGGGTTAGGTGCACAGCTGAAGTACATGGCTACCTAGCTTTAACACGTTCAACGCGAAACACGAGTATACTCGTTCGAACCTGCAAAACGCACGACCGCGAAACACGAGTATACTCGTGGCAAAAAAAATAAAAAATAAAAAATTAATTTGGAACGTTTACTATGTTCTCCTATAGATGGCAGGGGCTATACGCTTAGCAATTCAATAGCGTCACTGTATAAACCCCAGTAGTAGATGACATAATTTATACAATACATTACTGTTGTTTGGAACGTTATTTTGGGAGTTTTTGGGACTGAGGTAATGTTTTTAGTTCACTTCGCCAAAGGGCGTTTGACCGCCGTGTGTTGTGAAGTTGTTTTTATGTCTGAAAGTTGTGTTTGCTTTGATAGATCACGGGTGATAGATTCTGGTGTTGTTTTGATGTCTGAGAGTAAGTTTATATCTATATTATACTAGCCACTAATTATAAATAATTTTATAGCTAGTTAAACCTGCCAAAAACGTTTTGTGTAATAAGTGACTAAAGTATAAGCGGTAAAAACGCGAAAATCTCAGCACAGGGCGGTAGGTGCATTGTTAACCCAGGCAGCGTTGAACGTGTTAATGGTGCCACTCGGCCGAAAACGGACAAAATACCATTTTTCAGCTCATGAATGAAATTCATTTCTTAAGTATAGGATCAGGAGATTTAGGATCTATTGATAGACTCCTGATAGGATCCTA